AGTTTCGTTTTATTAATGTTTTAACATTTTATCATACAAATGCTGCAGACTTTATTAAACATGCTGTTTGGTGATAAGTCTTAAGTATCTACTTTTATATAAAACAGCAGTTGCCCCTGGTTTTCTACATGGTTATGATAGAACTGATGTATCATAGCCTCTTGGAATGTCTTGATTATTTCATTGCATTAAAAAAAAAAAAAAAAACCTCATAGTATTTCAACTCTATTCCCCACTGATAGATAAAGAAATTCCTCTGACAGTAAACAGAATTTTTATTTCCATAGAAATTGAGCTGAGAAAAATGCAGTTATCAAAATATAAACAAATAAAAGTGGTAAATTTCCCTCTTGTGCTTTAATTCCCAATGAATTGCTTGTGAATCCAAGGAATTTCCTAAGAAAAATGTCATCCATGGGTCAGAATGGTTGTTTTTAAAATTTTAAGGCTCAAAGTTTTGTGAAGTTAATACGCTTGGGAAAATTATTGTTCGGTCCTTTTTCTCCTTGGCTTCATGTTACAGTCTTTAAAATACTTGAAGCTGAAATTTAAATATATTAAAACTATTTTTATTTAAAATTTTTTCTGCTTTTATATGTTAGTTGCCTACAGACAATCTATTTTTAACATGCATGTTGTTTTGACGGTTGGTACCAAGACTGTAAGAGCTAACCATCTTGACCTTTCTGTCCATGAGGGCAGCAGGAGGAAGCGTCTCAGAGTTAATTCCGTCTTGTTCACAGCTGGGAACAGAACATTCCTCTGTGATTCTCTTGCCCATGATTCGTTGGGATCTCTTGGAAGCCAAACTTGATACTATAAGTCCTGGGCTTCTGAGGTCAAACACAGATCAACCTTAGTGACACATTTGGTTAAGAATTAGATTACACAAGACCGATGTAGTTGTTAAAGTTTTACAGACAATTAAAAATGGAATTATTGGGCATGTTATTTTAGTTTTGCGCCAAATTCAGATGCAGAAATTTAAGCAAGATCAATCAATTTTCAGGACCTGGAATTTTCAAAGTTAGAACTCTGAATTGTGTACGGTTGTAATATCATCTTTATTTTCAACAAACAGCAAATATTTCAATTAAGCGAATGTGTATTTTATTTGAAACAGAGGAAATCATAACAGCTTGGCTTGCTTTACCTAAATTATTGTTCCCTTACATCAAAAATTTTACTTAAAAGGAGCTCTTACCTTCATATTCCTTGGCTTTTCTGTCCTGTGTTCTGCATAACTTTTCAGTTCAACAGAACAGAAGCATTTCATTTGCAACATTAAGGAAAAATTTGATTCATTCATTATTGTTTATGAAGATAGAAATGTTATGTGGATGACAATGATTTAAAAATTTTGTGACTTATCTTGATTGCATTCAAACTGCCCTGATTACTGAAAACCATGAAAGACTTTGCCCTGCTGGCTCCATGCTTAGCATAAACTATGAATTCATAACTTCCCTGAAAAGATTTCCTTCAAGATCCTTTTCTCATTCAGCTCCTTTATCCCTATTAAAGATCTTAATCTTTTGATGGGCAGCTTCTCTTATTTCTCCCTATTTCAGAAGTATAGAACCAGTAAAAGAGCATGGTGTATGTTTTGGTTTCTGGAGAGAGAATTTGAAGGATGTATGGCTTTATTTAAAATAGCCTATGGTACCTATCTATCTGAGGTCTCCTAATTTATTTTCTTGCAGAAATTTCAAGGCTGCTTAAATTCATCAAATGATGATGATATGGGGAATTTAATTACAGAATATATAGGGAGGAGAACTGGAGGTGTGCTGGCGGTGTCGGTTCTGAGAAATGCCAGTGGCTTTGTGAGGCAGGAGTGTGTGAAAAGGCCATGGGCCCTACCTAGGTAATTTCAAGGAGCAAATCCTTGTTTTGCAGTAGTGGTAGCAGGTATAGCGGTGGTTTGGCTCATTCAGGCCCCTCGCTGTGGAGAAACACATGTAAAACCATCGGCATGCCTCTTGGTCTTGTATTAACTGTGGCAAGGCTGTGCATTAAAGAACCCAACCATTACTGAAAGGGTGGGAACACCCCAGTGGCCAATGGCCAGTGGCCAGGTGCTTTATGATAACACCACACGCAGGCCCAGCCAATCAGATGCGATCTTTTGCTGGCAGTTGCTCCTTTGGCCACCACTGCAGTAAACACTTTCCCTTGGATGTTGGTTTTCTGTTGTGTCTGGCAGCCACACTGGGCTGCTTGAACTTTAGCCAGAGGCAAATATTTATACATCGGAGTGTGCAGTGTTCAACTGGTCAGGCCTGAGAGGGAGAGGGAGAGACCTCCGTGTCTTTTCGCCAAAGAGGATGTATCTTTTTTTTTTTTTTTTCCCTTCCCCTTTCCACTGTGTGACATGGTGAAGTGGGACCATCCTGGAAGGTCATTTGAGCTCGGGCTGCATGTGCTCCTTTGCAAAATGTATACAGGCGGCAAACTTGGGATATGCTTTCAAAAGGGAGGGCTTCCTGACATTTCTGCCTGCTCCTTTAATTCCTCTTGGAAAGTTTACAGTTAATATTTTCCCTGGAACGTTGTCAAGCTTTTGACAGAGCCTGAGTGTATGCCGAACTGTGAAATTGAGCCGGAGAAGCAAGTTGTGAGAAATCTGTTTCTACTCAAATCCTTAAGGTTTATTTAAAAACAAAAACAAAAACAAAAAACTTCAGGGGGGAAATTGAGAGTGGGACTCAGCTTGCTTCTCCTGGTGCGGACTCAGGCCGCCATTTTAAGAAGCCAGCGAAGGGCGACGTTCCGCTCCTTACATGGCGGCTGTATTTACTCGGCCGCAGCCAATCACACCGGCTGTGCCAAGCCACGTGACGTGCCACGAGGGCACGCACAGCCATTTCCTTGTTTCTAAAAAACTTGCTACCTCCACAGAGCACTTTACCTTGTTTTGCATGCCAAATGTTCCTGCAGAATGTGTCTAGCAGACTGGCATTTGTCCATAAAGTTATTTTAGTAGGTAAAAAGTCTCTGAGCACTTGAGCTTTGTGCATTCTTTATGTAAAATGGATTTCCCTTCTTGGCCAGAGGCCAAGGGTACAGCACACTCGCTGGGTGAGAAGAGAGCTTCTCTGCTGAGAAACTGGTGGACCGACACACTCTAATTTTTTGGCTTCTGACCAAACAAGCTAGATGGATGCCAAAATTCAACAAAATAACACATTATTGTGTGATAGGAGCCGTGCTCGAAGAGAGCAGGAACTCAGAGGAACTTCATACTGGCCCTTTTAAAAAAAAAAAAGCATTGTCACATTGGGGAGATTTCTTGGGGGAAATGAGAGGAAAATGGCAAAATGCAACCTAGAGAGTAAGGTATAATTTACACATAAACACGAAGGAAGGAACTGAAAGAAAACAGAGGAGTTTAAAATTACTTTTATGAACTTCTCCCAGACATAACCCACAATTCTCTGATGTGACTCTACTTACATTCTTTTAACCCTGTAGGTACCATCTATGTGTCTGAGCTGAATGCTGGACTACTTAATATACAAATGAGAATTAATGTGAGATTTAAACACTGTAAAAAGGCTTTGACATGTAAGGGTAGCTGCAGATTTCAAACATAGGATCTTGGCAGGCTTTTTGCGGACAACAGAAAAGTTTGTAAACTTACAGGTTTTATTATGCTTTTGCCCCCTGACATCTGACTTTGAGCAACGTCTGCTGTAAATTACTTACATGGCCTTATCTGGTCGGGTAACCCCTCTGTACCTCCGTTTCCACAAACATACAATGAAGATAATAGAGAAGAAATTTAAGATCTCTTTGAACTCTGAAGACACTAGAAGCTGAATGTAGATAGATAACTAGAATACGTATAGAACACGTGTCCCATTTTTGTATGAAAGTTTGTCAATCCAAAGGGGAAAAAAGAGGACCCCTCTAGTCCTCACCACCATCATCCTTGCTGAGACTACTTTGGTAATCCTGAGTATTCCCCTCTTATTCTGTTCTTACTCCTTCACACAGTATCCAGACTAGTCTTTAAAGAATTAAATTAGTTTTTAATCATTCCTCTGCCTAAAAACCTTTCATGGTTTCCCATGGATTTAGAATAAAATCCAGCTTGTTGCCATGGCCTACAGACACCACATGGTCTCCCTTTCCAACCTCACTGTATACCACTCACTCCTTGGATGCCTTACTGGTCTCCTTTTGATTTTTGGAACCTGCCAACCTCTTTACTACTAGTTGAGTGCTTAGAATGCACTTTCCCCTGCTCTTTCTGTGGCTGGCCTTATTTTCACCCTTCAGGTCTCTGTTCCCATGATGTATCTGTGGAGGAGCATTCTATCTAAAATTGGCCTTCATATTTATGTTTTTTCATGGCACTTTTAGCAATCTGAAATGGGTCTTATTGATTTATGTGATTACTCATTTTATACCTGCTTTCAGTCCCGTAATGACAGGAATCCTATATACCACTCCGTTTTCTGCTTTTTGGACTGTATCTAAGCACAGTGGGAATGAAATGTTGGGGCAAGTCAGGGCACTCCAAAATATATACTTCATTTACCTTAATTTCACTGAATAATCCTGTATTTTATTACCTACACTCAGAAAACTTCCATAATAAAATGCCTCGTGAGACTAATGCTTTCGTTTCCCCACTGAGAGTCAGTAGATCACGTGGGTTTAGAGAGGACAAAGCTTGTGGATCTTTAGAGGGCCTGGACTTGAGTGTTGGCCCCGCTACTGACTGGCTGCGTGACCCAAAGCGGGTGATTCAGACTCTACACCGCAGTTTCCTCAGCTCTAAAGTAGGATTCCAAACTATGCCCACATTATAGGATTATTGTAAAGATGAAACGTGATCTCACATGTAGAACTCTTGTCACGAAAATGTTAACTTTTTGCTCCCGTTGTTGCTGCTGCTGTTAATTAGTAACAGTGTGGTGGGCTCGGTCCTGGCAGGCACAGTGCCCCTGTAGTAAGAAACAGTCCTCTGCGGTAAATAGTTCAGTCAGTGGAGGAGACATAGGTGTAAATTACCTACTGTAGGTGAAACACTTACAGTGTGCCAGCAGCTCTAACAATATGTGAACAGAGCATTCAACACGGAAGGGGGAGCAGCGTCCTTTCAGTAGACAGCGAAGGTGCTTTTTGTGAGGGGGCATGTCAGCCAGATTAAGTAGCCCTTTAGGTAAAATATGTTCCGGAGTGACAATAAGAAAATAATATCAGCCTATGCCCACGCATTCTTTTACTAATACTGCTGAGTATTGAGTATTTTACATCTGTTATCTCATGGAATCCTCTCAGCAACCTGGTGAAGCAGCGCTATTATCATCAGCCCCATTTTACAGAGAAGGAAACTGAGCCAAAGAGAGGGCAAGTGGCATGGCCAAGGTCACACAGCTATTAAATGTCTGTCCTGGAATCACACACATTTTTGTTGTCAAAACGCTGGCGCCACGCCTACTTGGGCACTTTGGCATTCCAGGAGTGCTCTCCAGTTTTGCTTCATGGTGTATGGAAGCCCCAAAAGGATTCCTTAAAGAGCTGGTTTCACCCCGTCAGCCTTTTTGCCCTATTGGTAAAAGGTCCACCTACCTTGTAGGGTGATCATGAGCTTACATGATATAATTCAGGTGAATTGCTTAGCATATTGCTTGGCATATGGTAGACATTGAACAAATGTTCCCCGTAAGTATTATTGTTATTATTATTTAGCCATATCGAAAGGAGATCCGTGATCCCCTGCGACCAGCCTCTCTCCCCGTGTTAGCCTCCGTACTGGGATATCCGCCTCCAAAGAGAGCAAGCTCCCCGCAGCTGAAATGGCACGCTACCCAGGTTGCTAGCATCGTCCCTCAGCTGCCTCTCCAACTGCCATAGCTGCCTTAGTATTTAAAAATTACTCTTCCCGTTTTATATTTCAACTCCAAAATCGATGCATCTGTGAGGCAGTTTGTTTTCCTGGGGAAGTGTAAGGAGCTGCGGTGGTGGTATGGAGACGCGCTCGGTTTAGACTCAATATTGCCACCCACTCCCTCAGCAGTGTCAGAGAACAGTCTCGGAAAGATCTGTTCCTTCCCCTCCCAGACTTGGTACCACAGACTGGCCTATCCTCCATGACTTTGCACATCTACAGCAGTGGGGAAGTACTGATTGCCCACCACTTGCCTCTGTTTCTTCTTTCTCTGGTGCACTTTTTTCAAAAGGCATCGAATGTTTCTCCCACTTCAAGACTTTTCGAACTGCCCATGTCCTGTGCCTGCTAAAAACCAGGGCAAGGCTAATCATAGCCGAATTTCTGGTTTCTTTTTGTCAAAGTGGGTTTCTGGGAGAAGGGGGTGTGCCCCCTCTCTCTCTGTGATGGGGACAAGGCAGTTCTGCCCGAGGAGGCTGAGCAGACCTCCCTCTTCCTTTGCTTTCCTGGTGGAGGTGGGGTCTGTGTTCCCAGAAGTGGTGGGCCTGGCATGGTTGGTTGTTTAACGGAAAACAGAGTTAGCTTATCCTGGAAGTTTTCTTACACACCCATCTTTAGATTTCAGAGAAGGAAGAACACAGTCCCCCAAAGCACTGAGAGTTACAACACATAAATAGCCCAGCTGAGCCAAACAAAAGTGACCATTGTGTGGTGTACCGCATAGCAAGATATAAACTGGGAACTAAGAACAAAATACTGGAGATTTCTTTTTTTGCTTTTAGCTGTAAAAATCTGTTTTCTCCGTATGGATAGTGCGTTTACTCTTGGGTCTGAAACAGGGTAATTTAATAATGTGGGTTCAAATCCTAAGCCGTTTACTGAGCAGCTATTTGATATTAGACGAACTATGTAATTCTGTGCTGTTGTTATTGTTCCTGCTATTTGGGTGCATTTGTAATCTTCTGGGGGCATTTACGATGGATAGAAATCTCTTCTAAGTGGCCAATCATTCACCATACCTAAAAATTTCCTTCTTTAACAGCGTGGGCCAGTTTTAGTCATCATTTTACTATTAATTGTTGCTACCAGGCCATACCTAGTCAGTGTTTTTTCCAAGTTATATAAATCCATTGAAGTCATAGTAATTGGTGCCTGAGCTTGTATTCAAAGCCCTGTAGGTCTGATTCTGTCCAGGGGTAGGCCACTTAAGTTACGTATAATAAATGTTTCCTTGTCTATAAAATAAGGATAGTAATACTTACATAACAGGCTCATAATGGGCTCATTGTAAAGATGACACATAATATAGGTTAAAAAAAAAAAGCCAATTTGGTGCTTTTCCAAAATTTGGGGGCATCGTGGCTGGTCAGGCAGTCAAGCTAATAAGGAGCCAAACAGATCATCTGTGATCACTTTAAAGTCCTAGAGTCAGGTAGTGTAGGCAGGATTAGGTGCTAGAAAAGGTGTGTAGTCTTCTGTGGTTAGGAGAAAGCCAGGCAAGGGTGCACAAATGGAGAGAAAGCAGATTTGGAAACCAAGGCAGGCAAGGTCAGGAGTCCTGAATGTTAGAGGTGTGGGGCCTGATCTCCCGGCAGAAGCTCTTGGGCTTGTGCCTTTCTTTCTGCTCTCTGCATAGGGTAACACAGAACTTCAGAGCTAGAGGACAAATATAGAGAGAAGGTTCTAAAATGTAGTTCAAAGATGTGCCATAGGTCACTTCCCCAGTTTTCCAAGAAGTATCATATATCTAAATCAGGAAGCTCACTACCAATGTTTTCTTAGAATGGTTTGCTTATATTAAAGAAGACTTCCTTGTCTTTGTACCTTTAAGGAGAGCTGGCTAACAGGAGTGCTAGGATGTTTACTCACAGGGGGTCATGAACCATTTGCTGATGGAGTGATTGGGTTTGGATCACATCTGGGATTGAGGGAAGCCTCGTTCATATTTAGTCTTGGGATAACAGAAAATGCCACATATTGCTATTTCTGATTATAACGCTACTGAATTTTAATAACATTAATAGCATTCATTGAATGCTGCTGTGTGGCAAGCAGGCAGTGTTTTAAATCTCTGTGTCCATTATCTTATTTAATCCTCACTGTACTGAATGAGGTACTGTCATTCCTCCCGTTTCAGGGACCAGGACCTTGGCACCAGTTAGGGGACTCCAGAGGCCCTAAATCACCCTGTGACACTGTCTCCACTCAGAATCATTCCATCTTCATGGCATTTTGGACTAATTAATTCTCACTCCAGCACCATGTGGTTGGTGAATTCTTTCATCTTGCAGATATTTATTATTTCTGTGCTACCAGTATTGGACTGGGCATGGAGTAGAATGTGGATTCACTCCTGGAGGCTAGATCATTCTCCTGGGCAGGATTGCTGTCAGAACTGCAATTTAAAGGTCCAAGTTCATGACTTTCGGTCTTAGGCTTGTATAACCTACATACATACCTTATCCCATTTGTATGGTTGTAGCCCAAGAACGAATTGCATTTAATCAGACACAAGCGGGGCAGAGTGGTAGTTAATTTGTCTCAGGATTTGTTGCAAATTTTATCGTTTAAATATCCTGTGATGTAACAGATTTGGTCAGACCTGGGGCATTCACTAAAACAAGCAAATAAACAAAACACTTGCTGACCTTTAGAGAGTTACAAAATTTGGGATTAGAGTATGTGCAAAACCAGGACCTAGGAATATGAATTGGATAGTATATTAAAACAGAAGACTATATTTGGTTGCTCCAGCACCAAGGATTTTAGTTATATGACTTAGACTTGGATTTCTTGCAAGAGTAGCTCCTTTTCTTTCCTTCCCCATCTGTAGGCTTTATATCATTTTTGGTACTGAGCACCAAACTCTTCTGGCACTTTTTTAATTGAGGTTTTGTAGTTTTAATGGTCTGGTACTATAAAAAGCCAACTTTGTGCCAAAATTCTTCCAAGACCAGACATGGGTTTTGACACCACAATAAATTAAAGATAAATAAATAAAGAAACATGGCAGTGAAAATGCGGGAAGTGGGTTTTTTTTTTCCCCCCAAACTAGCAAGTGGGGCCTACTTGTAAATTTCAGGCATGTTTTCTTAGTTCTCAATGTTACAGTGCTTAGCTACATTAATCTGTTACTGGGTAACTCCAGAATGAATGTTAGACGGAACCATTAGGAGATCAGAGGATCCCCCGCCAATTCCCACCCCTCCCCCCCTTGCCTTGAGCATTATTGAAATTTGACAACATTCTCATAGCCTCTGCTTTCATTTAAGGATTTGGCTATCAAAAATACGGGCAAAAGGAAAGGAACCAAGAGAAAGCAATGACCAAATGAATAGTAGTATTTTAAGGCCGCAGGTTGCTACGCTACAGACCTGGATGGATAAGGGCTCAACAAGATTTGCTTTCTGGAGAATGTGGGTGTCTGTTCCACCGATCCTGTTTGTGTCCAGCCCGCCTTGTTGGCCTCCTCCTTTTCCTGGCACCATTTATTTCGGTTCTGAGAAACAGCTTCCTCCCATTACATGTACCAATTCAATTAGGCAGGACATAGTGCTGAAGGTTTTTGATTCCATCAGTTTCTGGTGTGTAGGCAAGTAGCTGTTTGGGAAAATGTCATGAGCTGCATCTTTCTGGATTCTGATCCCTACTTGACCTAATGACTTTCAAATCAGTCACTCAGTTTTTCTCCCTTGTTTTCCCTCTCTGGCCTTCCCTCCTTCGTTCGTCCCACCCTCCCCATCTACCTCTCTCTCTCCCCCCCCTCCCCGCCCATCACAAAAAATGGAGGTTGAACCCAAGATCTGTCTTGGTTCACAAATATTGGTAAATCATCAGGAAGCCATTAATTTTCTTCTAGCTGCTAAGTAGCAGTAACACCCTTTTGAGCATGTGAGTTTGGAATTGAGTTTGTCCCTGCAGGGACCTGTTTCCTCTTTCTAAAGTGTGTCTTAAAATTTACCAAAAAAAAAGGGCTGAACAAGCTTTGAAGCATATTAAAAATAACCCAACAAAAAACTTCCTTCTCTTTCTTTATTCTACTAAACTTTGTCTAATTTTAAGCCAGCATGTGGAACCAAGCCTTTATTGAGGTTTGAAATGTCAAAATAAGGAGGGATTTGTGTATATTTTCACTTTTGACTTCATTTACTGGAAGTGCTAAAGCACCAAGTGGGAGGTGGTTTTGGAAGTATTTCTGATCTAAAGAGGAAATTCCATAAATCATCCATGGTGATGTGTCTCATTTGGTATTCCAGAGAGGCGTTGGCCATTTTCATCATGGGTCCTGGCTCTTGACCACATACCTGGCCCTAACCTGGATTTTAAAATATGAACATTTGTGTTTCTCACTCCTGAAAACTTTTATATTCGGATTCTTAAAATTGTCTTTTAAGTATTTTCCAGATTAGCCTAGAGTAGAGTTCAAAACTGGCAGGCACTGTCAGAATCCTCTGATATGGGGAAAAAACATGGCTATTATCATTGAATGTGCTTGTAAAACCTACAAAAGTTGGCAGGTGACCATGTGTTTGGTTTGGACCAATTTATAAAATGTTCATGTGTTTATGAAAATTTTAATCTCTGCACTTCAGAATAGTTCAGTATAAAATTGGGCAGACAAGTTTAAGAAAAGAAGCTTTCTGTGACTTCCAGTATTTCTCTTTTGATCACGGAGTGCTATCTGCAGTCTTTTTCATTTCCAACTTCTGCTAAGTCTCTTAGAGTTACTTCGAGTGATAACTGAACTTACTCTGTCTGGTGTTCTTCTGTCTTCCATGATCCCCTCTCCCCCACCCCCATCCAGAGAAAGAGCAGTTTCTGAATTAGATGTGGCGTATCAGTGGCTTCTAATATATAGCCAAAATTAATTCTTTCTCTATTGAAAAAAAAATGTGCAGTCGGGGCTTTCCAGGGTTATTCTGTAAATGTTTTCTCTCTTCATGTGGTGGAGAAGAGATGATGAAGGATCATCATCCAAAGCCATTGTGTTTTGCTTCTACCAAAGATGATACACAAATGTGACACATTTACTGGACAAGCTATAAATCTGCTGTATCCCAGAAATAAGTTCTGATGGCTGATGTTATTTATTTCATCATCTGCCAGCCTTTCTTTTGAAAAATCCCCCCCTTTAATGTCTTTATTGCCTTTAATGGAAATACCAAAAGGCAAGCATCCTGCTATTATAAGACTTATGATTCTAATACAGATCCTTAAGAGTATGTCCCCTTATGCTTACATTTTTATTCAGGACATTGTCTATATACATCTGAAGTCAGCTTAACTTTTGACCCAATTAACTGATTGGCCTGATGAATTTAATTAAAATAGGGAAGTGCTTGTGCAGAGAGGAACGGCATTAGTATAATGTGGTAGTTAGATTAGCAAGATTGATTTGATTTGATAATTAATTCATTTTATAATTTGATTAACAAGATAATTTAGTGTCAGTCAGAGACCTGGGTTCAAATCCATATTAGCTAGATGACTTTACCTTAAACATTTTAAGTGTAATTTCCCCTCATCTACTAAAATGGTGAAATAACACATACCCCATGAGAATGGCATGAGGACTGGTGAAATCAGTCATGTAAAGTGCTTAGCACACTTGGCCCAAAGTTACTGGTGCACCATAGTACATTTTGTCATGTTCTAGGATTTTAAAACATGTGTCCTAAAGACACCACATTTCAGATTGCTGTCAGGACTTTTCTGAATGAATAGAGAGTCCCTTCTTTCTTTGAAGACATCAGTAGCCTAAACATCACGTCATCTTCGAATTGTGTCCACCTTTTGGCAGCTGAAGCACTCCTCCCTCCCTTACTCATGTCAACTTCAGGTCATAATAATCGTTCCTATATTTTAAAAAGTAACATTTAATAATTTCTACACAAGCTTGCTTTATTCTTACAGAAACCCAGTGAGGTAGTCAAGGTAGAGATTAGGTCATAGAGATACAGAGTTTTGGAGGTTTCAGTGCCACCATTTTTCGGTAAGTGACGCAGAACTGTGTTCAAGTTCTGTGTAGTTAGTGGCAGAGCTGGTGAAGCAGATCTGAGTTCAGTGCCCTTTCTTCTACACCATGCTGATCACTCCTCTTTTTAATTAAAAATGCCCTATTCCTGGCCTCTTATTGATGAGTTGCTCATAGCTCTTAATTTGTAGGGTTCTCAAAACTGTTGAGTGAGTGTATCTGGATTAAATCCAGATACTCTGACCATATAGAGCTCCTTTCAGTTTCAAAGGTACCTCAGCAAGTACAGCATGGAATCCATAACAAGTTCCTGTCAATTTCCTCTTTTAAAAATCTTGGCTCTTTTTCTGTAGCCCTCTGAGAAATCAATTCTGTACACCTCTGTCTCCTTCTATCACCACTGCTCGTCACATATGCTCCTCTGACTATAGCTGCCATGTTTAAGATAATGCTAGCTAGGAATCTAGACTAAAATATTTGCCATTAATTCTTACTTAGCCTGCTTTCTGGACATTACTGGGCTTCTAGGCATGCTTTCACAGATTTTCCTTTTCTGTTCTATTTTATCGGTTGTTAATTTTGTTCTACTGAGGTTCTTTGGTTAAAACTGCTCTGATCACAGGGTCTTATGTAATCACAAATACCTTTCCTTGTTAGTTAATATCATCGTAACCACATAAGAAAATGACAAATACATGCAATTTGTATGTGAAATGCAACCCAAAGAGCTTTCACCTAAACTTCAATTTTCTTGACTCCTTTATATTTTAAGGACTAATCCATAGTTTACTCCTATCAACAATATTGTTCTTGTGATCTTCCTTGCATACTTGCCTCTGTAGGTTTATCTTTTTCTTATTTTGAGTTGTATTTTCTCACTTAAAGTTTAAGAAATTAAAAAACACAGTTTATGGCCTTATCCATATTATCTGTATTTAAATTGTTTCAAGCAGTAAACATTTTGCTTTTGCATCAGATTTATGAATTTTTATCCTGATACTCTGCCTGTTGAAAGGTGATACTTTTTGTAAATGTTCTGTAATTTGCCATTCTGTGAGATTTGGTGAAAACTTACATGTAATTAACACTAGATATTATTTAGAACCACAGGAAGTGTCTGTTTTAAATGTTACTTTATAAAAGTTCAGAGACTAGAAATTCAGTTTCTGTTTTTATTAATCTAGTTGTAGTGTTAGAAAAAATTAATGATAAATAAAGCTGCATGACATACTGTATTTGACAGTTTTTAATGAACCTGATTTTTCTTATAGAGTAAATGAATTTTTCTATAACAGAAACTTGATCTTTTTGGATAGATTTTGCTTTGTTTGTCTGCATGTAGGTTCTAATTCTACTAATATTGATTGGAAAGTGTATTTTAAACTCGATAGTTCACACTTCTATAAGTTTTTAATTTTATAAAGAAAATTAAAACCAAGTTTGCTTTGCGGGTGTGTTCTTCTTTTGTGCGTAGGTGCTGAGGTGGGTTTTAAATGAAATTTAGTGGTATCTTTTGAGAGAATTATAGCTGTTGAGTGCTCTTGAAAACCTAGGGC